AGCTGTACGATGCTTCTAGAACTTCCGAGTCGTAAGCCTTGTGTCGACCAGGGCGGCCTGATCTCACTTCGGGCCTTGTGCTCTTAAACTAGGAATAATACTGCTCAGAGCGTCTCGGTCGAGATAGAACCGCATGACAATACCCGACAGTTCATACTCCCACAGGAAGTGTTTTGTCATATTCGTTCCCGAGAGCCACGCCTTTGATGGGACCCGAAATCCTTGAGGGATTGGCTGCGTGGTCCATGAGAAGCGACGCTATGACATGAGTAAATGTTTAGGATTAACCTGTATAATACTCCATTTTGAGGATTATTTCATCATCTAGCTTCAACTAATCGGGGCTGTTAGACAAATCCTTTTGTACCTCTAACTACGGGGGGTTGAAATAAAGTTCTGAAGGAGTATCTAATCATTGGATTTCTAATTTATATGAAGGTTGAAAGAAGGAACCTCACATGATTGAAAGAGTGCGCTATGATCATGGGCTGTCTATGTGTTGGGTAGTGCAGGGTTGACCCGACGAGTATATGAGATGGGGATCAATATGACTTTTTTCTTGTCAGTCAGTTATACTTCGCCAAAGCAAACCATTTTCTCTAGACAGATGAAGCTACCAAATCTAATAGTACTGTACCCAAATAATGCCGAATAGATTAGATTCAATCTATATCCACAGGAGATCGACAGGGGGCAGTACATTCCTGAGAGATTCGATCCTCCGCAGGTAGCCTTCCTAACCCGTCGGAGACCAGTGGTCGAGTAGTGTTTTGAAATTGTTATTAGCTGATACCGAGGAGTTAAAAGGAGATACTGGAGAGTCAAAGAATTAGATTTTAATATGAACAATATCATTTGTTTTGCTGTGGATGAATAACCTTTGTCTATTGAAGAGGTTTTCAATCCCCATAAGAGATACTTTCTTGAGAGAAAGCTTTTGTCTCTCGTATTTCTGTTTTCTGAATTACTTGATAGTCTCTGTATGGAAGGAAACTCTTTTGGTTTCTAACAAGGAATTCCATCTATGTTACTCTTAACACCATGACTTCTCGGATTGAGTGACCAGAGCGGTCTTACGATGATACCGAAAAAAAAGCTTATAGAGGGTCTGCTCCGTTGAAGCATTGTGATAGAGCAGCAAAGGAATGCCACTTAGCATTCAAACTCTTACAAACCCCATCCAGACCCAGTGGTTGCTCTCCCCTTAGAAGCAGTCCAGTTGGCGCAGCCGGGAATAATGCGCTTGGTAAGAAGTAAAAGATGTAGCGTTGAAGAATACTTCCCAGGAACAGACAAAATGAAACTACTCTTTTCCTTTGAGGCTCTCCATTTCTAGCCATTGCATCCGACCACACTTCAGAGTCTTGAATACAATAACTTTCTCGCCGTTTCTAACTCAAAGATGTCGGACGTTGCTAAAGGCTTTTGCTGGTGGCGTCAAAGACTTCGTCACAACCCCTGGGGTCATCCCGGTGTTGATCCACTGCCGCTCACTGCTTTGGAGGTGTCTAGGACGAGCTTAACCGATTCATGTCATCAAGAAGGCGATTCCATGTGATACGCAGGTAGTGAAACTGGCGCGAGAAGCCCTCAGCGGGTATTGCATTCGCCTCCGATGCAATAACTATTCCAAGCAAAAAGATGGGATTCTCCAGAAGGAGAGTTGCTTCCATTTCTTTACTAAAACTTCCTCTTTAAGTACCTAGCTATTTATGCTCCTTGCTTCCATAGACGATAATTGCCTAATTGCCCTGCTACCACGGGGCGTTGGTGAGATCTCGGGCGAAGGGAATCGCTGGGCCGCTTGCTTGGTCCTCTGAATTCGTATAGCCCATACTGGGCGCCAGAGAGGCGGGGGTGGTTGGTTCTGTTGACTGTGTCGTTCATCTTGGTAGGTTGGGAGGTCATATCCGGGGACATCTTGACAGAGGAAATGAAGCTGAAGAACCGTAAATGCAAATACTGCCCGCAGTAAGATAGGAATATATACTGATATTGTGCAAGTTATTTCGAAGAACTGACCACATTGATGTTGCTCTAGTTCATGAAGCCCAGGCTTTTAGATTGGCAGCAGGATATGCAGTATGTATAGGTTGTTGTCTAGAAAATCCAAAGAACCTGCCAAGCATGGAGCTCAAGAAGGTACTTTGCATAGGAGAGGCTCTTCAGGGGTTGCAGAACCAAGCCCAATCACAAGACCATTAGGGCTGCTATGCTGCCTATCCTTAACTTGTGGTACCTTACAGGCGTATGAGCTATGAGGGGGATTATTTAATAAGTGAGATTAGTCCTCAGAAAGCTTTGTATACCTTGGTGAAGGCGGTTTAATCAGTTCGGTATACCGTTCATTTTCATGGACTCTGAAATGGGACTGGCTTTACTATACCCTGAGTATAGCATGGGAAACAGCAATAAGTTCTGGAGGTGTCCTGCCGGAGATTCTATTTAGGTTAGGTATTTCAGCGAATCGATTTTAAGGTAAGAGGCAACTTTTTCCATCAAGTCATCAAAGGCTCTCTATTGGTCGTCGACATTGAATTCGATGGGTTGGTGGTGGCGATCATAGACACGTTTCATTTGGACCGTGGCATACTTCATCGCTTCCTCGGCATCAAGCCTAATGCTTAAGTCTTGCTTATTCACGAGGCGGCGGAGCAGGTTCCAAGGCTGCCTGATATCGACATCGAAAAGCAGTCTGTGGGGTGTTTTGCTGAGTAGATGCGTTAGGCGAGTTATTAACACTTGAAATCATGGACGGTATATGGTCCAACCATTTGACTTTGTGGGAGGACGATAGAGTAGCGAAATGTCTGATCATAATTTCGATTATTTGTATTGCTCCCCCACGCTCGTAGTCTAGGTTGTGATGCGGTATCACCAGGTAACCGCAGTCAAACACACGGTTGAATATCGGAGTTGCGGAAAGGAACCAATTCGTCTCGGCTCTCACGAGTGCGGACGCCTGATGCTCCCCCAGGTCCTGATCGTTTTGATGTTCTGGCCCTCGTTATTAACCTGGTTGGTTTGCGAGGATCCTTGTGGATTCATTCATTCTGACCGGAACTGGGGTTAGCAATTCTTTTCTATTAAAGTTCTGGTTTCTCCCACGAGAAGGTTCCGGTGGGTCAATGTCGAGCAATGTATCTCAGCTGGACTCCAGAACCATACCCAAATCCAGCTTGAACTATGAATGTAAATTCTATGGTGTTGGAATACCTGGTCAACATGCCAGGTACTCCTATATCTAATCTGGGTATCGAAAGCGGGATACATTGTCGAGAGCCTCGTCTAAGGCGTATCCTGAGTATGTCTCTCGGAAGTAGAAAGCCTCGTTGAGAGCGCAAATGGAGTCCAGGGTGTTGGATTCTGAAATTCGATATTCGAATCACATTTTCGTGAGGAGGGGGAAGGGGTCCCCTGGCCCTGAAGAAGGCAGATACATCTGTCTTCGTGATGCCAGAGCTTTCTTAAAAATTGCAAAGCCCAAAGTGAGGGTAATTATATGAAACTGTCTAATATTGATGTATAGGAAGCATATGGCTCGAGTAAAACTGTTTCCAATGTCCGTATTCATTTACATAGGGCTCTGACCGGGTGAGAATGCGCGTGGAGGATAGAGATCACGGCGATAGAGTGTTATGGCACCCTGCTTGGTTTCGGAACTAACTATATATCTCATCCGGGCGATAGATAGATAGATAGAAGTTATGATGGTATATAGGGGGGCCTTGATCTCTAGGCAAACCCAGCCCAGATATAGAGGTTTAAATAGCGAAGGAATGACGAATTCCTAGAAGACAAGCTAGTTCTTCACTAGTTCACAATTCAACACTTGCCATGATTTGATATTCACGAGCTACGGCCATTCCCTTGATGCAAGATTGACACCTCTGATGCTGGTGAAATTGTCGCGAGAGTAGTAACTGTGGAATGCCTATAAACAGTGATATTAATCTATATTCTCCTATTGCTATCTTCCCTGGAACCATGATATAAACCAAAGAGTATGGAATAGGGCTACATATCGATTCAGTGGAAATGTATGCGATTATGAATGACACTGAAGCGAATATACTTAACCAAACATTAGTGCTGTTGAAGATCATAAGAACCTCTTATTCAATAGCTAGTTTCGATCTTCGATAGTATTGTCTATGGACATCATGACACTAACCTTCTCGAAGGAATGTCCTTGCCTGGGCTCCAGAGGCCTTGCGATTACAGGATCAGACTCTCTACCATGACAAATGTAGAGAGAACGTTGCATGCGGAAAGTTGTATATGTCCAACTAACGGCCATAGTGGAGAAAGGAAGGATCGATTGACATGCTACTAGACCTAATTAATGATGTTTAAAATGTCCGGCGGGGGGGATTTAGGGGGAATTCGGCGGGAGGAAACTAAAGGGCAGATCACCAAGTGGATCCAAGTACTGGATAGTGTACATAGAATACGAAGGCTGCTACTGCAGATCCATGGTGATCTTTGTTCGCTGCTCATGCATCGCAGCATTTTCCTTCAGTCACTACTGCGTACTCTACTTCGCTTCATTGTCCAATTTTACAAGAATGACCATCGAGTGGCCCAGTAGGCAGCCCTTGAATTGACAACGGAGCTTCGTCTACTATGCCTAATGGAACTCTCAGCCCTGGGGTTAGTACGTGAGGTAGAGTGGTGCCTTTGAATGCGATCGCGGGACCAGACGGGATTTAAGGTTATACAGGCTTATCAGTATGGACAAAATAACTATGCATAGAGTGATTATGATGACAGTCTTGATAGGTCAGGACTAGAGAGAAAACTTGATTTGGCTTTAGATATTCTGGAAACCATACCACGCTTAAGTCATAGATTCAACCTATCTGAATGTATGGAATGTTATTCGCTTATTTCCGAACGAGAGTAAGACTAGTACGCCATGTACAGAAAATATTTAAAATTGTTGAACTGCTTCTTGATCCCTATGGCATCAACTTATGTAGCGTACAATAGCCTACAATATGGGAGACTTCGACTGCCACGCCCTTCATGGCGATGCCCTGCGAGCCTCCGGTGAACCTATCGCTCTCCCGCCAAATACCAATCTCACAAAGTTCAAGGCCTTCATTTCGCGGGTGACAAGTGTAGTAGATGAAACAAATGTTCAAATCATCCTGAGTCATGATGACATTGCTCAGGAAGAATACACAGACCCCTCCAGAGCTCATGACATGTTTCACATCCTCGATAAGACGCATTTTATCTCCTCGGCTGTGGTTGCACCTAAGAATGTTGTCGATGTCCAAGACATCATAAAATTGGCTAACGAATTTGAGATCCCAGTCTGGCCTTTTTCCAAGGGTAGAAATATCGGCTATGGCGGCACTGCCCCAAGAGTGCGCGGCAGTCTTGGTATCGACTTGGGCAAGAACATGAATAGAGTGTTGAAAGTTGATCCTCAGAGTGCCTATGCCTTGCTCGAGCCTGGGGTGTCTTACTTTGACCTCCATGAGTATTTGGTTACGCACAACTTGCGGGATCAAGTGTGGGCGGACGTACCTGATGTCGGTGGCGGTTCGGTTATTGGGAACGCGCTCGAAAGAGGCACTGGATATACCCCATATGGTGAGCACTGGTAAGCTGTTAGAAGGAACTATATCCAAAGGAGATCAGCTAACTGGCTTATTCATAGGATGATGCACTGCGGACTGGAGGTTGTCTTGCCCGATGGCTCACTCCTCCGCACTGGGATGGGTGCTTTGCCAAACCCTAAAGCGGACAAGAGCATACCACCACATGAACAGGAACCAGATGAGAGCTGGCAGATATTTGACTGTAGCCTCGGCCCGCATAGTGCTGGTATATTCTCTCAGTCCTCTCTCGGAATCGTCGTGAAGATGGGAATTTGGCTTATGCCTAACCCTGGCGGGTATCAGGCGTACATGGTCACCTTCCCCAGGGACAATGACTTGAATCAGATCGTGGAGATACTCCGACCTTTGAGAATCTTCGGGGTAATTCAGAACACACCCAAGCTGGATAACGTCCTGGTTACCGCGGCCGTCCAGGTATGTCCGCCGAGCTAGTGAATGTCATTTATCGGTTTCTCACATTATCTCAGGGCCACCGCACCGAATACACCAATTCTGACATGCCCCTAACTGACCACCAGTTAGATGAGGTCGCTAAAAAGCTCAGTATCGGTCGCTGGAATCTCTACGGAGCGATGTACGGCCCACCCATCATTCGTGACGCTCTCTGGTCCATCATCAAAGCATCCTTCAGCAAGATCCCCGGCGCCAAGTTCTATTTCCCCGAAGATCGTCCCAACGACATCGTTCTACAAACTCGAAGCAATACAATGCAAGGTATCCCATCCACAACCGAGCTTGGGTTGCTATCCTGGCTCCCCAACGGCGGACATCTGTTCTTCTCTCCGATCGCCAAAGTAACTGGCCCCGATGCCAAAGCACAGTACGGCCTCACCCGCCGCTTAAGCGAGGAATACGGATTCGACTTTATTGGGGTGTTCATCATCGGGGCCCGTGAGATGCACCACATCGTCTGCATCCTGTTTGATCGGAAAGATCCCGATGCAAGCCGTCGAGCCCATGAGCTTATTCAGGTCCTGATCGCCGAGGCGGCGGATCGGGGGTGGGGTGAATACCGCACTCATCTCGCGTTGATGGACCAGATTGCTGAGACTTACAACTTCAATGAGAATGCGCAGATGAAGTTGAACGAGAAGTTGAAGAACACGCTTGACCCGAAGGGGATCTTGTGTCCGGGAAAGAATGGTATCTGGCCTGCCAATTACCGTAAGGAGGATTGGAGCTACATAAACCATAACATTATTCAACAAATATGCATACATACGCAAGGTTCATGTGCATAAATAATACATATTGAAGACTAGCAGAAGCTAGTTACTTCAAGTTGCTGCTAAAAGACCCTGGATAGTCCGACGGGCCGAACCGATCCGCCAAATCAGAACCTCCCATGGCACCGTTGGCACTTGGCAGCAGCAACAGAAAGTCGGTTTCTGTCCAACATTGGAACAATGAAAATTAATTCTTTTTAGTGCATCTGAAACACCAAAACTTTCCTTAGTAACCTTTCAATATTCCGTCTTGCTAATTCGCTTGGCTTTCTGTTTAGGGTACATTTCTCCGGGCCGGCCTTGCGGGTATGGCTCGTAGCCAAGCTTGTGAGTTAACCTGGTTTCTGGGAGGACTTTTTCAACCGCTAAGGCCCATATACTCCATAGGGGTCTTCCTCCCTGAATTAACGCGGACACAAGCTGAGTGTAGCGTCGCTGTGGGGCACAGAGCTAACGTTCTTTCTTTCAAGTGTTTATTTTCCGAAGTTCATTAGCTTTGCAAATTATGGTATCAACATCATCAATTTTGTTATTTGTAACACCTCCATTCAGCATGTGCTTGGTATTCTAAACACTCCAGCTTGAATGAAAAGGGCCTACGATAAATTATTGTTTAGCACTAAAATTGGAAAGTCGTGGCCGACGATGTACGTCTATTACGTAAAATGATGGACGGGGCCTTCCACAACCCTAAACGTTGGCGTGCGGTGGGTACCTTAATCCTTTGGGTCGCTTTGTCTAGCTTTACAAAGTTTATATATCATCTAGAAGGGACGTACACAACTCTACAATTTGATTAATTCTAACTCTTACAAGATGATGGTTGTTGTCGGGGATCGAGTTGATGACTTAGTTGTATAAGTAGGTTGCAGTAAAGTGGCAGTCCTAGAGTAAGCGGGTAATTGCCTCTTAGTCTTCATGGTATGGAGGACTCTATGAGGCTGGGGTATTCGTGGAGCTTGATTGAATAAGATCAATGGAGCATTCTCAGGCATCAATTCGTGCTATTGAACGTATATCACATCACGTCTTGAGCTGATTTGAGTCCCGATAGTGCGACCGAAGAGCTGAGGCTTTGTAGCCAATACCGGAGATTTTAATTGCTGCGTGAGATGATGGGTGCATATGCTGGAGTTTATTCCAGAGTTTGATTTGAGATGAATAAATGCCTACGCTGGAAACTGTATTCCGTTGATTCTTATGGCAATGCATGCCACTGGAGGTCCTCGAGTAGCTTTGCGACTGGTTGCACGCTACATGGAAGGGTCTTAGGTTATGTCTAAATTCCAAGCAAAGTAGAAATTAACTGACTGTATTATTGTCTCAATCTATACAGTCCGTATACCCTGTAGTATCAAGTGCATCCGACAATGTCTCATGGTGGAGTGTCTCTTTCACTGAGTCTCTCATAATCAATGATTTGCTTATGCGATTGGGAAGACTAGGTACCATCGAGCACTAGCTACCATTCCCGGTACCAGCTGCCCCCCGGTCATCGAGCTGGCCAGGTAATGCATACCTTATTACTACTACCTACTATACGGCATGACCAGCCCTCGTCCAAGCCACGGAGCTGTGGAGGCCAGCACAGAGACGCTCTGGCCCTCGCTTATAGCCATCCTTCAGACGCATTAAACCTGGAGATCCATCATTGGGCATGTCCATAAGGAGTGGAGACCATGGCGCAGTATGCAAAAGATTGCGAACAAGGCCGCAGTCATATGGCTCGTTTGATCCAACAGCGCTTGATGTCAATGCCTTTGCTGGATTGTATATAGTCTTGTCTAGTAGATGCTAATGATCCATCAGGGCTCTGGAAATGTTCCTAGTATTCTTCTGTGTACATGGTCTGCTACTGATCGAATCATAAAAAATAGATACTAGTGAGGTTTCTCTGAAGCTCCAAGCCTGCATTGTTGCTTACGCGGGGAGGGGGCTGTAGCCGCCCACTAACAATAGTATCCTACAAGATTGCGATTGTCATCGCGCAGTGTTAAACGACAAAATTGTCGGTTCGAATTGATTTGTAAAAGAAGAAATGAGATTAAGAAGAAACAGAGAATAACGGAACGGAAGTATTTGGACGAGCACTGGGAAAGGAAGAAATAAAATCAGCATCCACAAAAGTGGCTACTCTGCAGACCCCCATTTGTGCAAGAGGGTGCAGGAAGCCCGGGACATCCTGGAGGGAATGGAGGGTAGACCGCCATTTGATTGGGGGTGCGCCCGTCGTGGTGAAGGCGAAAAGTAAGCGGCCAAGGTCGAGACCCGCGCAAAGCCGCTTGGGCATTATGTGGCATTATGTCATGTTGTTAGCGACCGCCCGAAGACTGTGGCGACTGCGCCATTTTGTTTACCCTCCCCCAAAGGCTGCGAGGGAAGCGGATAGCGATAACCTTCGGTTTTCTACCTACAGCGTAGAATGTCGGATCAAGGAGGTTAGATTGTACTCCATATTATGGCATTCGTGACTTAATAATCAAATCACAGGTTCGAGGATTGCGAAACCAACTACATTCGTTTGGAGACACTGTCGGTCCCTCCAAATCAGGCAGAACCTTTCGTCAGTGTTGCGTGGCTAATGCGCCTGTCCAAAGTTCGGTCGAAACTTTTTCATTTGAGTTCTATATCTGTTACTGGTGAGGTGTGCGTTTCGCATTTACAAAATTAAGTGATTCGACGTCTCCGAATCTAGCAGTTATCCTCAAGAATATGCCAGAGAAAACGCGTAATGAGGGAAGCAAAGTAGAAAGCACCTCAGCAGATGCGAATCATTTCCGGGCACAGCGGGGTACTGCACAGTAGCTCTGCAGTGCCTGCACATCCATGGAGGGGCAAGGCAAAAGTACTCTCTACCCGGGACACGACAACATGTTGGCGGGGTTTGAACAAAAGGTAAAAAGGACGAAAAGTAAGAAAAGAGAAGTAAAAAATAAAAATAAAAGAGCGAAGAAAGAAAAAGAAAGGATCATACTCTTTATATACACATATTTTTTATTGCCCACCTAAAAAAGGGCAGATTGAACAGTCCAACAAGAAGGGCAAAACAAACCAGAAATCCCGGGCTTCGCGGTGGAAAGACCGGGGGGGTGAGTTGTGCAAACAAAATCTGTTGGCGACTTTGGTAGTGGGCATTGAACACCGTCGGCACAGCACTAGTGGGTTTCAAGTATTCTTGGTGTGCGACCTCAGGGGAGGGGCAAACGATGAAGCCTTGAGAGTTGAGTAGGCGCCTGGCGGGTGAGTAGGTCTAGCTAGTAGTAGGCCTTCTTGGGGGGGAAGGGGGGAAGGGAATGTGGCCGGGACAGCCTGCAGTGCGACCGAGAGTTGGCCGGCGCTTAAAGGAGGGAGGGTCAAGGACTCAGCACCCTGCGGCTGCTGGGGGCGCTCAGAATCCTCCGGGAGACTCACGGGAGCCGTGAAGATTGCCAGCAGGTCAACAAGGCCTGAAGCACACTAGTGAGCTCCCCGTGCCCACTGTGCTAGGCCCCTAAGCCTAAAACAGCGACTCAGCAGCCCTTCAGGCGTTCAGCGCCCATCAGCGCCCACTATTTAGTAGGGCCTATTTCCCCCTCTACCGCGACCCCGCTAGCGAAAATTTCTTTTCTCTTTTTCCTCGTTCTGAATCCCATTATTCACTCTCTTCCCTCTCTCCCCCTCTGTCTCCTTCTCACCAAAAGCAAAAATTATCCGAAGAGTCTCTTTCTCAGTGGAGTTTCACTGTCTCTTTAATCATGTCGCGCAAAGACGACACTGTCACCGTCAACATTGACGATTTCACTAGAACCCGCGATAGCGTAAGTCGCCCCCTTGTTTACTGTCCGCCGGTCGCGCCCGACTGGGGTGTCCGGCGCAGCGCTCAGGTCTTCTCCCCTGTGCATCACGCGTCCTACTACATAACAACGCCTGCTTTGTGGCTTAACTCTTCCCCCCCCTTGTTTGGCTTCCTTACCCCCTCCTGGCAACTTACATTTCATGTGTGTAATTTACCATCAAACCAACCTGGGTCGCTCCAAATCTGGACATTACCTGTAACATCATCCCGTTTTTGCGCCACTGTTCTTGTTTGCCTTGACCCAAGTTCTTGCTCCCTACACCTTCACAATGGCGAAACGCGCCTCGATCCCTGATCGGAGCCAGTCATCCTTGGACCTTATTACCTCTATTGCCCGTGCTACTAATTCCGTCAATACGGCCACCTCCGGCATCCGCGCGGTCGCTTCTTTCCCGCCTACCCAAGCTCAACTAACGTACGCGCAGGTGATCGTTAGTCTCGCGCAACTCCAGGCGGCTGTCTCCAAGCTGTCGGAGGCTTATATCAACCATGCGAACACCGTACTGAACCGCGGCCCGACGGTCGACATCGGGAACATCGCCAGCATCATCAACCCGCTCTATGAAAGCGGTTTGCTGGGCGCCCTCGGTGCTCGCGCTACTAGCCCTGGCGCAAAGTCCGAAGTGGGCGAGAAGAAGAAGCGCAAGCGCGCTCCCCCGGACCCCAATGCGCCCAAGCGCGCCTTGACCCCTTTCTTCCTTTACATGCAGCACAACCGCAGCAAGATCGCCGAGGAAATGGGCTCCGATGCCAAGCCGAAGGAGGTCTCGGACGAGGGTACCCGTCGCTGGGCCGTGATGCCCGAATCGGAGAAGGAGGTAAGTGTTCTCTTCCGCCGGCTCCCAACTCGTCGCAGCGCCATGACTAACTCGCACGGCGCGTAGCACTGGAAGAAAATTTATGCGGACAACCTCGCCGTCTACAAAGAGAAGATGAAGGCCTACAAAGAGAAGATGGAGGCCTACAAGGCTGGTCTTCCTTTCAGTGATGACGCGAAGGCCGCCAACCAACTGCAACAGGAGGCTGACCGTGCGGATGCCACCCCTGCTGAAGAGTCCGAAGAGGAGGAGGAAGAGGAGGAAGAGGAAGAGGAGGAGGAGCCCGAACCGTCCGGGAGCCTACCCCACCACGCTCTGGTAAGCGTCGTCGCAGCGAGGCTGCTAAGGCTGCCAAGGAGGTCGCCTCTCCTGCGGAGACCAAGAAGGCATCGCCCGAGAAGAAGCGGACGCGCACTCCCGCCTCGAGGGAAAAGAAGGTGCAGGAGGAGACCCCCGCCTCGGCTCGCAAGTCGGCTGCGACAGAGAACAAGCGCGGCAAGAAGAAGCGCAAGAGTGAGGCTGTCGCGGAAGAGTAAAATGGTTCTGCGTCTGCATCTTTGGATATGGTCGTGGGGGTTTACTGGAGGGGACCGGTTGTACAGACATTCGGCGCATCTATGTTGATTTTTGGGGAATTGAACCGTACTCAGTGCTCCCTGTACCATAAAGTGCGATTTGCAGCCGGATTACTGGTTCGGTGCTCTGGGGTCGGGGCAGTTTGGAGTCCTTTTTTTTTACAGTTATCTATTCTTTTCAGGAGCTTCGGTTTGCTTTTAGGTCTAGCTTGCTCAAACGGGAAACGGATCTTTCAGATTGATCTTAGCGAAAGTTAAAAATGAAAGCAATGTGCATTTCTTTTCATTGGGGGTTTGAGAGTTGTCAAATAAAAAACACCGTGGATGCGATACCGGAAACGGGGGGAATGCCTAAGAATCCCTAATATACCCGATGGCTGGCGCTTCTGCACACGCGAACAATGCATAGCTTCGGCTACCCCAGACGTGCAGGGGTGAGGTTGCAGTAGGGTGCCGTCTGGGGCGGCTTTCCATGGAATGACTCGTGGTTATCGATCGGACGGCTAGCCGGCACGGTTCGTGCAGGATTGCTAGATTGCTATCGATCCAGTAGAAAGCAAAAAAAGGTGTTAGTCAAAGAGATGAATGAATGGTCCATTGGGCACGGCCAACCATAGGCCGAACGATGCCCTTATCAGCAATGCCGGCAGCGTATCTCGGCGAAACCCCACATCAACATCCGGCCTTCGCCTCTGCCTTTGGCGCTTCATTTATAAAACCCGCCCCGGAATCCCTTCGTGCAGGTCGCCTCCGGTCTCTTTGCCCCTGAGAAGGTCGTCGTCGTGCGATATCACATCACCAAGAGTCCGGTGCAAAGTAGACTGGCCATTGGTCGCGTGCATCCTCCTCCAGGTTCCCCCCCGGTCGCATCGGATCCATTCTTTTTTTCGCCTTCTTTTTTATTAATTTTTTCTGTTGTGTCATCCACTCCCTGTCCACTGATTGGCCCATCCAGTCCCGATCGCCTGCTGCTGGATATTTGACAGCGTCGGTGATTCGCAGGCCAAGAGACAACGATTGAGCTCCGCTTTGGAAACTACTGTCGGCGAAGATGCACCTCATTCCCAAGGAGGTACGTCCACTAAGCAGGGATCCTTCCGGGAGATCCAGATCTATAAATAATCTCCCATAGTACTTGTTTGATACTGACATCGGTGGCTGCGGTAGCTTGATAAACTTGCGATCTCGCAATTGGGCTTTCTGGCCCAACGGCGTCTCGCACGTGGTGTACGACTGAATCATGCAGAAGCAGTGGTATGTGGATCGGCCATTCTCAGTTGCGTAGTATCTATGGAAGAGGACCAGCACTGACATCCCTCGCGTAGGCTTTAATATCTTCGAACATCCAGGAGCTCATCCGCGATGGCCTCTACTCCGTGGCCGACTTGATGTCCATCGGCAAGACCATGCTTGGTCGTCGTCATGTCTTACCGTCCGTGGTCTCCACCCTGATAGAACTGCAGGTCGAAGGCACGTTCCCGACCGGCACATACCTCGTAACAGTCCACCACCCCATCAGTAGCGACGAAGGAGACTTGGAGAAGGCACTATACGGGAGCTTCCTTCCGATCCCCCCAGCGGACGCGTTCCCGGACCCGGACCCGAACGACTTTGAGCACGAAAGGATGCCCGGTGCCATCATCCCCGTGAAGAACGAGCGCATTACGCTGAACGAGGGACGACGGAGAATCAAGCTCAAGGTGATGAGCAAGGGCGATCGGCCTATTCAGGTGAGTGCATTCCGGCCCCCGTTGAATTGTACGGTACTCATATGATGAACTTGTAGGTTGGGTCCCACTATCATTTTATCGAGGTGAACCCGCAGTTGCATTTTGATCGTGTTCGCGCGTATGGTTATCGCCTAGACATTCCTGCGGGAACATCGGTACGATTCGAACCTGGAGACACTAAGACTGTGACGCTTGTGGAAATTGCGGGCCATCAGATTATCAAGGGAGGTAATTTCATTGCCTCGGGCAAGGTCGATCTGAGCAGAGTGGACGAGATCATGCTGCGTCTGCAAGCGGACGGTTTCGCTCATATTGCCGAACCCACTGCGGATGCCGCCCTCGTTACCCCGTTCACGATGGACCGAGAGGCCTACGCTCGAATGTTCGGCCCTACTACTGGTGACCTGGTTCGTTTGGGATTGACCAACTTGTGGGTCAAGGTTGAAAAAGATTATACGTCTTACGGTGATGAGTGCAGTTTTGGCGGAGGCAAGACTATCCGAGATGGAATGGGTCAATCGTCGGACAAGTCCCATCAACACTGTTTAGACACGGTTATCACGAACGCGCTGATTATCGACTGGAGCGGTATCTACAAGGCCGATATTGGAATCAAAAACGGTATCATTGTCGCCATTGGCAAGGCTGGAAATCCCGATATCATGGACGGTGTACACCCGGAAATGGTCGTCGGTTCCTCGACGGACGTGGTCGCTGGTGAGAACAAGATTATCACCGCTGGAGGATTTGACACGCATATTCATTTCATCTGTCCTCAGCAGGTGGATGAAGCGTTGGCTTCCGGAGTCACTACATTCTTGGGCGGAGGAACCGGTCCTTCGACAGGTTCGAACGCGACCACTTGCACCCCGGGACCCACGCATATGCGCCAAATGATCCAGGCTTGCGACCACCTCCCCATCAACGTAGGTATTACCGGCAAAGGAAACGACTGTGGTGGAACCAGCATTGAGGAACAAATCTTGGCGGGAGCCGCGGGACTGAAGCTCCATGAAGACTGGGGCTCCACTCCTGCAGCCATTGATACCTGCCTGGATATGTGCGACAAGTACGACGTGCAGTGCATGATTCACACCGACACTCTGAACGAGTCTGGTTTCGTGGAGCAAACCATTGAAGCCTTCAAGAACCGCACGATTCACACCTATCACACGGAGGGAGCCGGCGGCGGCCATGCCCCTGATATCATCTCCGTCGTGGAGCACCCGAACGTCCTTCCCAGTAGCACCAACCCCACCCGTCCGTTCACGATGAACACCCTGGATGAACATCTGGACATGCTGATGGTGTGCCATCACTTGTCCAAGAACATCGCCGAGGACGTTGCGTTCGCCGAGAGTCGTATCCGTGCCGAGACCATCGCCGCCGAAGATGTCCTCCACGACCTTGGCGCTATCAGCATGATGTCCTCGGACTCGCAGGCAATGGGCCGCTGTGGTGAAGTGATCCTGCGGACCTGGAACACGGCGCATAAGAACAAAGAGCAGCGCGGCCCGCTGAAGGAGGACGAAGGCACAGGCGCCGACAACTTCCGCGTCAAGAGGTACATCAGCAAGTACACCATCAACCCGGCCATCGCCCAGGGCATGTCCCACATGATTGGCAGCGTGGAGGTCGGCAAGATTGCCGATTTAGTTATCTGGCACCCTAGTTCTTTCGGTACCAAGCCTACTCAGATCATGAAGAGCGGAATGATTGTCGCTGCACAGATGGTATGCATAAATTTATTTCCCTCAACATAAAACAAGACACTAACATGCTATTCAGGGTGATCCAAACGGCTCCATCCCCACCATCGAACCGATCATCATGCGTCCCATGTTCGGAGTAAGTCCCCCTCTGATCCTTCCAAGAAACTCCCCCCTTTTAACATGATATCCCAGGCCTACGTCCCCAGCACCTCAATCATGTTCGTCTCCCAAGCCTCCATCGACGCCGGCATCGTCCAAACCTACGGAATCAAGAAGCGTATCGAAGCCGTCAAGAACTGCCGCAACATCGGCAAAGCCGACATGAAATACAACGACACCATGCCCAAGATGCACGTCGACGCGGAAAGCTACGCCGTCGAGGCCGACGGTGTCCTGTGCGACGCCCATCCCGCCGTAAGCCTACCACTTACGCAAGACTTCTTCGTTTACTAGAACGATGATAAAAAAAATTTCTCTCTCTCTCTCTCTCTCGTTTTTAACTTTTGTATTCCCGTTTCTGGTTGTCTTGAGATACCTAGCCTGTATGCGTGCGCGTGCTTTGGCACATTTCCTTTCTTAACTTTCTTGTTGTATAGACTAGGGTATAGGTTGGTTTCTTTTGCATCTCGGCAGATGTGTGCATATGAGCATGTGTTATGAATGTGTGTAATGATTGATATCCATCTTTCTTTTTACTAATTAATTACTCCGTGTTTCCTCTTATAAATATGTGTATTTCAGTATATAGGGTAATAACCACCCCCCCGGTACTTTTGTTTAGTCCATGGGGTCGCAATCACAGCTCGATCTCCTCTTCGGTGTGATTGTCCCCCGCCGAGACAAGCCCCATCGACGCCCAGGCCTCGTAACTATCCGCTTTAGCAGCTAGATACGCGGCTCTCCGTACCCGGGACGAGCTGTTGCTTCTCTTTAGGGCATTGGCCGTCTGGGCATCTGCTGATAAAGACGCCGTAGTCTGAACCAATAGTTGTTCTCGAGTTTCGATATGCTCATCAAGTACACCATCAAAACCCATATCGCTGGCTGGCTCCAAGGGCTGTTCTTGGGATGCAAAGGCAGAAGAGGAGATGGAGAGTGAAGAGCTGAATTGGCTTTCTGGCTCTGGTTCTTGTTCTTCAATATTGTTGTCCGTGATACCAACCTCGATTTCTGTGTCGAGGTCACTGTCAGATTGTTCATCGACGTGATGTGATGTCTCTCCAATTGCAGTCGTCTTCCCCGGATAGTCGGGTTCCTTGTCTTCTTCGGTGGACCATGAAGAGGGGAGAGACCCAAGGTGGAATCGTGTTTGGTCCGAGCGAACATTGTTTAGGAAGTGCCATGCTTGGCGGATCTCGTTTCGTCTGGCTTTTTCTGTTGCTCGGGTTGGTTCTGGGGTGGGGCGTGGTGCTTGGTTGTTGTCTTGAATGGTCTCTAGGGATGATGGTATGGGGATGCAGTCTGAGGATGAATATGAGGATGAGAGTATGTTTGATTTTGTAGTGTGGGTTTTGTAGGG